CACTGGATGCACAGAAACAAGAAGAATGAAGAGTGACTAGATGGTTCCTATCTCTGCAACTCTTTCATTTCTGAGTACAGCATAGGGCTGGAAGCCAACACGGCAATGCAGATGGCTTGTCACAAAAGCATTGCCTCTCATCCCAAGTAGCCCAACCCCATGGTGTTGAGCTGGGGGGGAGGATATGTGATACAGCATGGCCAGAAGGCATCAGGATAGTGATATAGGAGAGATATGTAAGTCCCAGGATGAGGAGAAGCCTTATTCCCTGTAGAGGGAAGAAAGGTTTCTATAGATTAATTAAAAGCACCTGAAGCCAATTAGAGCACCTGAAGCTAGTCATCTGATAACCCCCCCCTGCTTCAATCAGCCAGGGAAAGGAGTTGGAGCAGAGTGCAGTTTGGAGGAGTTGGAGTAGAGGAGAGTTTGGAGAAGTGCCGTGGCTGGCTAGAAGACCAAGACCCTAGGTAAAGAGACACCCAGCTTGTGCAGAGAGAGAGGGCAGGAAGCCCCACAAGCTGAAGAGCAGGAGAGGGAAGTAGCCCAGGGGAAGGAAGCACTAGTTCAAGTGGTTTACCACTATCCCTAGGACTCCTGGGCTGGGATCCGGAGTAGAAGGCGGGCCCGGGTCCCTCCCTCTCCACTACCCTTCTCTGGGTTACTAGTGGGATAGTAAATACCCTAGTTCAGGAGCAGGAAACTGCACCCTGAACCCCCACCCTGAAGAAGAGGAAGCGTGGGACCCATCATAATCGTACTGGCAGTTTGCCACTGTTAAAATATTATATGTTTGCTGTTCGAAGAAAAAAAATCCAGAATACATAATGTTGTTGTTTTAGTTAAATAAAATAATTTAAATGTCTGTCTGGTGATGTTCTCCTCCTAATACAGCATGGCAAGAAAATCTTCCAAATACTAATGATGAACCTGTTGAATTGGAGATAGTTCACCTCCCAATGACTTCATAAATATCTGCTTCAGTTACCTTTGGTAAATAAAATAACCAAACAATCATTCATTTTCTGATATACCTGTAAAACTAATCTGAAAAGTTTTCAAAATAAGTCACTTTTAAAATGTATAGTGTGTACCTTCTAAAAATGAAACTTACATCTCTGGGTTGTGAAGAATATGTATTAAGGTTATAACAATCAACAAGAATGCACTTTTATGTAGAAATCCATGATTAAATTGAGTCTTCCTGACTAGTGATTTAACTCATGATTTAAATCAATTTGATTTAAATCAAATCCACCCTGACAGGAACTTTTTTTTTATTCAGGATTTGTACAGCACCTAGCACAAGGGGGCTCCTGATCCATGACTAAGGCTCTTAGGTGCTATGGTAATATAAATAAGAAATAATTAGGTGGGAGAAACCACTTGGATTGCTTAAAATTGGAATGGACAAAGCCCTGGAGCAATCCTAAGGAAAAATCCAGCAGTGGTGTATGAGGGACTAAATGTGATTTACTAGGTCTTTTCTATCACTAACTGCCATAATCCAAAATCCTGAGTTGAAAACTATTCCGATTCAGAGATACAACCAGTACAGTATCATTGCTCCCTCTCTAGCCCCACAACCACTTGATCTGAGTGATGGAACATGTAGACCCCATATTAAATCAATTCTGCAAGAAACAGGGCAGCAAGATTCATAGATTCCAAGGCCAGAAGGGACCATTGAGATCATCTAGTCTGACCTCTGGTATAACATAGGTCATAGAACTTCCCTGAAAAAATTCCTAGAGGAGATCTTTTAGACAAACAATCTAATCCTGATTTAAAAATTCTAAGTGATGGAGAACCCACCATCACTCTTGTTAAATTGTTCCACTTGATCATTGCTCTCACTTTTAAAAATGTATACCTTTTTTCGAGTCTGAATATTTCTAGTTTCAACTTCCAACCACTGGATCATGTTATATCTTTCTATACTAGATTGAAGAGCCTATTATCAAATATTTATTCCGCATATATATACTTGTAGATGGTATCCATCCCTTAACCTTCCCTTTGATAAGCTAAATAGATTGAGCTCCTGGAGTCTGTCACTTGAAGGGATGTTGTCCAATCCTTTAATCATTCTCGTGGCTCTTCTCTGAACCCTCTACAATTTATCAACATTTTTCTTAAATTGTGGACACCAGAACTGGAGACAATAGTCCAGCAACAGTCACTTCAGTGCCAAGTATGGAGGAAATATAACATCTCTACTCCTACTTGAGATTCCCCTGTTTATGCACTCCAGGATTGCATTAGCTCTTTTGACCATAGAGTAGCATTGAGAATGTATGTTTAGCTGATTATCCAACAGGACCCCCAAATCATTTTCAGAGTCAATGCTTCCCAAATTAGAGTCCTAAAACTATGGTTGACATATTTTGTTCCTCAATGTATACATTTATATTTAGCCATATCAAAATGCATATTGTTTGCTTGCAGGCAGCGTACCAAGTGAGCTAGTACCACTTCCGCAATTTTTGTGTCATCTGCAAACTTTTTCTGTGACAGTTTTCTATGTTTTCTTCCAGGTCATTGATAAAAATGTTAAATAGCGTAGAAGTGAGAACTGTTCCCAGTAGCGTAGAACTGAGAACTGTTCCCAGTGGGACCTCACTAGAAACACACACACACACACACTGAGTTCACATTTGAGTCCTAACAGTAAGCCAGCTTTTAATCCATTTAATGTATGCCATGCTAATTTTATATAGTTCTAGTTTTTTTATCATGTCATGAACTAAGTTCACAACCATGTCTTGGAGCTCAGAGGCCTATACCTGTCTGACCTGGTATTTAAAGGCATTAATTTCCTACACTGGCCATCTTCACAGTCCTGAGGAAGCCTCATAATGGGAGCCTATAAGATTGGATAACACAGATTCTCCACTCCCAGCAGAATTCCTCCAGACAAACTTCCCCACTTTTCCCACCACCTCTGTGCAGTCTTTAGCTCCCTGACCCAGCACTCGAGAGAGATATGGTCACTGATGAGCCAGAGCTGGGAACAGTGGGCACAGGTGGTAGGCATCAGACACAATTACTAGGCAGATCTCTCTCTCTTTCTCTCTCTCTCACACACACACACACATATACACACACAGTTCTACAGCTCCCAAAACACAGGTCTCTATCATATGAACTAAAGGCAAATTCCTTCAGCTAACTCTATTAGTAGATCTCTTATTTTCTTTGTGGGCCCAGCAACTATGGGACAATGCCCCTCATACATATACAAAGCCAGTTTATTACAACAGGTCCAACAACACCTTGGGATATTATGGACCATATTTTTAAAAGTTATGGTATAGGTGCAGTTGCACATGCAAGTTGCAATTAGTTATCATCAACAGGTGACCAGATGGACATTTAGTCACCTAAACAACCATGTCCACACATTGTTACCTGCAAATGCAGGTGACCAGTTACACAGACTTTTTGCAATGCAGAATTCAGGCCTCCAGTCATAAAAACATGGTCCTATGTTTAAAAAAAAAAATGTGTGGGTAAAGATGAGCAGCTCAGTACAGTTCTAGCCAACTGGGAGTGGGTGTCACTGAAGATGTTTGTTATTTTCTGATGGGGGGGCAAAATGAGGGGGTGGAAGGGGATCAAATATGTTTAGTTCAGAGACCACACGGATATGGCAACATGGCAGGATAGATAAATAATGTCCTTGGCACAGTGCTCACTCAGCCTGGGGGGAAGAGGAGTAGGGAGGGCAGTGTTGTTGACTTGCTACAGGGAAAGGGTCCAGGTGCCATCATGTTGGGTAAGAAGTATCCTAGAAAGTGTTTGGTGTTCTCTGATGTTGTGAGGTATTAGAGAAGAGAGTACCTTCTTGGTGGATGTGGGGTAGAAACCTTTCTGTCATGGTGTACGCTTGTTACTCTGAGGGTACATTGGTGACACAGTGAGAAGATGTTCCCAGGAGTGTTCTCTTGATGTGTAGAGGGAGGGTGAGGTGCTCAGCAGCAGGGGAAAACTGGGTTTCTCGTCCTCTGATCAGGCACAGGTGTCACAGGATAGGAACACATCTTTTGAAAAGTCTTCCCTGGGTTTGCTTTTGGGGGAAGTGGTTCAATGACCCCCACAGCCCTAGTTGATTGGTTCTGGTCTCAGGGGGTTGTACAGGGTTTATGTAGTTTGGAAAGGTCTTGGGGTGGGAGATACTGGTGAGCTGGATGAGGTGGGTGTGTAACATATACCCCTTGGGGGGTGTTGTGTGAGAGTGTGGGCTGCAGAGGTAGATGTGTGGATAGTGTCCCCGGGGACCTGTGAGAAACAAGGTGCCTGAGGTCGTATCTGTTAATAGACCCCCTTCTGTTGGTGAAAGAGACCAGCGTTTGAGCTACACAGAGCTCTTCTTCAGGTCGTGTGAGGATGTGTTATTCTGAGGCGTTGTGCCTAAGCGTGCGTTTAGTGGCGGGGGGGTGTCCCTTGGCAGGATGGGGGTTGTCACAGAGGCTGCGAAGTGGGTGCACAGCAGAAGGGGGTGCCTTGGTATGCCTCTTGTGCGGTGGGAGGGACTCTCTGGGTGTTGTTATTCTCCGATGAGGCGTGGGTAGCAGAGGGGGGGGGAAGATGTGCAGCTCTCACTGCAGTGATATGGATAGTCCGATCATAACAATAACCCCCCCCCCCCCAGTAGGAGGAGAAGGTGCGGCTGGCCCCTAATCCAGGTCTCCCTCCTCTCAGGAGCATACCCGCACCTCAGGATCCCCTGAGCCGCACCGCGGGGGCTCGCCCCGCAGCAGGGAAAGCAAGGCAAAGAACAGCAAAGAACAGGGAGCTGTAAAGCACCGTGCACACCCAATGGCGTTGAGAGACTGGGGGCAGGGATAGAGGGAGAGAAAGACCGGGGGAGAAAAGTCCTTACCTGTCCATCCCCCTTCAGCCACGGAAGGATCGCTACATGCAAAGGGAAGGGCAGCCGGAGAGCTGAACAGCAGCAGCTCCCTGGAGCCTCCTTCCCCCCACCCTCCCCGGCTTCTTACCTACAGTCCTGGATCCTATGCAGCCCATCAGTCTAGCAGGTCCCCGCGGAGGAGGCAGCAGCCGCAGCAGGGAGGAGGAGGGAAGTGGGCGAAGGTGTCGGAGGAGAGGGTGGGGTGGGGGAGCTCCAGTTATGGTGAATGTCCAGTGTGGCCCAGCCTGTGCCGGCGGAGGGGCATGGTCCGCAGTGAGCTCGCCTTACCCGCCCCGGACAGACAGCCCGGAGAAGAGGCAGGGAGGGAGGCAGGAGATGCTCCGGGCCAGGCTCTCCGACCAAGATGCTCTAACCAGCCACACCTCGCCTGCCACAGCGCTGCCTCCTCTCCCTCTGCGTCCCTGTCTCTTTCCCTCGCTCCTCTCTCCCCCCTCGCTCGCTCTTCCAGGCTTGGATGCTACAAGGATCTTCAGAGGAGGAGGCGCAGGAGGAGGGCTGAGATTGGGTAAACAGCTCAGGTCCTGAGCGCGGGGCTACCATTGGCTGAGCCCGCGCCGCGGCTGCAGGAGGCAGGGAAGAGGGAGCAAGGAGCCCGCACGATGCTGGACCGTACACACCCACCCGCTGGCAGCCGGGCTGGAGAGGCTGCCTGGCCCTGGGACCGGGGGAGGGCGGGAAGCAGGCGAGGAGGTGATAAGCGCTGGAAGGAGCAATTCGCGTTCCCAACAGAAGACAAAGGGAGCAATGGAGAGGGAGAGCTCCCAGGGACGGGGCCATTTTGAGGCTGTCAGAGAGGGACAGACGGACAGAGGCAGGGAGGGGAGCAGGGCAGCTGGCCGGAGAGGCCAAGACGTCACGCATCAGGAGTAAATGTGGAGCGAGCAGTTACACTGAGAACATCCTGACAAGCTCAGTTCACAAGGGGCTAAGAGGCGGTGGAGGAAGGGGAGAGAGGCAGAGGCCAGGGAGAGATACGGAGCAGGGGGAAAGGAAAAGAGAGAGGCACTGAAGAACAAGTGACACAGGGCGGGGCAAGTGGCCAGAGGTCAGAACCTGGACAATGCAGTCCCGTCCATACACACATAGTCACAAACAGCACACCAAGGGGAAGAGGGGGGCAGAGAAACGATCGCTGGGAGGGGGCCCAAGCTCCCGCACCGCCGGCCCCCTGCGGGAGGGAGGGAGATGCTGTTTGTCACACGCTTCCATCTGTCCAGAGCATCCCATCTCCAAAGCTCATTTGCTAATCTAGCTGCAGCACTGTGAGGGCTGGGCCCAGCCAACGCCGAGGGCTGAGCTGCACCGCACAGCCGTGGTATGAATCACCAACGGGGGCAGGGAGAGAGGAGGAAAGAGATGAGGTGAGAAGGCAGCAAAATGTGTGTGTGTGTGGGGGGGGGCAGAACAGGTGAGAAGGTCAGGGGAGACAGTGAAGAGGAAGGAGGAGGGCTGGAGAGAAAACTGAGAAAGAGAAGTACAACCAGAGGAAAGGGATGGCCAAGGAGGAAGGAAAGAGGACGATCACTCCGGGGGACTGAAGGAGGATGGAGACTGGAGAGAGAGAGAATCAGAGAGCAGGGACAGGCAAGTGGATGGCATGGCAGTTGTCAGAAAACTGTCTCAGTAACTATACTTCTAAACTGGATCCAATTAAAAGGAAAGACCCTCTGGTGGCCAGAGGTGGCAGCAGCAGCTGGATCCCATGGGGTGGGTCTGGCTCACTCACAGGTACTGGCTCTTAATTGAGCTACAGGTCCAGGAGCAGTTATTCCACGCAGAGAAAGGACAATCCCAAGTATCCCTGGCCCTGCACTGCACTGCCTCACACACTGTACAGCCCAAACATCCCCCTGATGCTCATGAACCAGGAGACAGCTTGCAACATTGGGCTTTTGCAGTGTGGTTTTACTCTAAAAAGAGACTAAAATATTGGTTGTTTTATGCTCACAGACCTGTCCCCTGTGTTATCCAGGGTCCTAGCTGCTGGTCTTGAGTTACAACTTTACTATATTCTACATCTATTAGTTCAGCAGAGCCAATACTGCTCAGAGAAGGGAACCTCGTTCTTCTTATGCATCAGGAGAATTGTTTACCAAGTTCTTCTAATCAGTTACTACTGTATAGGCCTTTTGAAGACAAATGGAGCTGCATAGTAGTCACTGAGAAATGAATTTGGCCTGTAGAACCATTATTACCAATCACAGTGGGTTAGAGGGAAAGGTCCCAGCTTGACTCTCAGATCCCCCGCTGAGCCTGCAGGACTGGAACACTCCCTCCTTCCCCAATCATTTTTTTTTTTAGACAGAATACATGTGAACCTGAACATGAAATCTGGCCTCCTTGAGGAGTTTCCTTGCATACTCCTTGAAACAGCATTTGTGCCTTACCTTAGTCATGGTAGAGGTGTTGCAGGCACAGCTAAGATTGAATTTCAGTTTTACACTCTCTTCTCTGAGCCCATTTCTCCTTTCAGACTTCTCATGCTCTCTAATCTCAAACTCTTTGTGGTTTATGTCTTCACACCTCAAATCTGACCCCTTTTCTCTCCCTGACTGGTGTCTTCTCTGGTTTTCTCTTCAAGTGATTTTAGAGCATGGGCTGATGAGGCCACTGAACCCCTTTGCTCCATCTTCTTATTCTCCATCCTTGCCTCCCTCAGTCTTAGTTTATCATCTCACCCAACCCAACTCATGGCCATATTCTTGTTCTCATCATAAGCAACTTTCTCTTTCCGCTTTCATATTCCATCTGCAGTATAACTTGTACCAGTCTCTCCTTGGTTATGACAAAGCCTCTATCCTTCAACCTTCAGAGGATTATTTTCCTGCCTCATCACTATCTCAATGTCTTGATACTATTAGGCCTTTCCATCTTTATCTGTAATAATGATCTCTTATTTCCTTCACTTCCAACAGTTCCTTGTTTTGTTATATACAACCCTGTCTTGTCCACTTCCCTTAACCTAATTAACTTAATCACAGAATCCGTACTCTTCTCTTTACCTGTAGTTCTTCCTGATGGTCCATAACCAATTAATCTCTCACATACATAAATTTAAGTTTTAAAAATCATCTCTGTAGTCATGAAAAGTTCTGGAGATCTCATCATATTCTCAGGGTTTCTCAAACTGTGGATTGGGCCCTATAGGTGGAGCATGGTGAGTCTTTAGGTACCTCATGATATGTAACTGATTAAAATTTTAAAATGTGGAAACTTTCCATTTTTCTAATAAATTGAAAGCTAACAGATAATTCAACAGGACTGAAAATGGTTTCCAATATCAAGCAAGGATTTACCAACAGTTATACGCAGTGGCATCAGAAATACAACACTTAATCTAGCTGCATCTCAGACAGTAGCATGATAACTGCTAGTAAATACCGACTTAAAATGGCTACCACTATATCTCTTGTTTTCTGGAAGACAAAGGCCAACCATAATTGCATAATGACTTTGTAAAAGAAAGAGGGATCCCTGATTGTCAAACTGATAGTCAAACTAAATGCGGAATGTGGCCACATGAACACCATTAGGACTCTGCTAGGTTTATAACCACGACTTCTACTGCTACACTCCCAGCACCATATCTAATTTTCATTGTTTGCTTTTTCCTTCTGCTTTTTTCTCATCTGAAAATCCTACGACTTTCTAACCTGATAAATCTAGATTTGCCCTGTTTTGTTCCAGAAGAAAAATAAACCAGGGAAATTAATATATAAGAACTTCAGTTAATATTATGTTAAGGACTATGAATTTAAATAAGCCCTCAACATTCAGGAAATACCAAAGTGAAGATTCAGCCAATAACCTTAAATCTTCACCCCTCTACAAATGCAATACAATTTTTTATTAGATGATCATGTTATAGTTCTCAAATAATACATTATACCATAGTTTTTTCTACAGCTTTAGATACATTGGTGAGAGCTTTTTCATGTTTGAATATTTACATTAAATTTAGAACATTTTATATGATCAATTTTCTCAATCATCACAGAAGTTAGAGATGGAAAAAGCAAAATAGCTCATCAAATTCATCACACAACTAAAGCAGGATTAGAGAAATTTACAGACTGACAGATGTACTTTTTGCTTTGTAAACAAATACAATCAGAAAAGTTACTTGTTTTAGTAACTCACAAACTGGTTCTCAGTAAATTCATTTATAATGTAGTAACTTTGTTTATTTTAAAATATTTTTTGTATTATATCTTTTAAGCCGTATAGTTATTTGCATTCATCATACAACCTATCCTCAAACTTTCTTAATATTGTTAAAGTATTATTTGTAGGGCTTATTGAATATTTTTCTTCAAACCTGTTTTTCAACAAAAATTGGGGGTTTGATTAAAAAAAATTTCACGAAAAGAAAGTGCTTTCTATGGAAAATTTCAAGTTTTCATCAAAAAATGTTCAATCAAAAATTTAAAAATTTTTTAAGTTGAACTCTGCAGATAATTTCACCATTTTTTTCTTCATTTTCATCAAACCTGTCTAAGAAAAAAAATACACTTTCTGACCAACTCGAAATATTTGCTTTAAGTATTGGAAATACTCTTTAAAACCACTCTGAAGCTGTTTTTTCACATAAGCATGTATACACAAAATGTATATTTGTACACAACTGATCTGAAAGTTATCCTGAAATTTCTTGACAAGTATAAGAGTGCTCAGATACTACCATGATGGGAGGATATAAATACATAAAGAGACAGGAATACAGATACTGTACATAGATTTATAGATAGATACTGCAGAGTGAAGGATTGACGGGGCCCAATTCTCCGTTCTACTGCAGCATGATAAAGGAAATGTATAGGGGGAAGAACTGTCCCTTGGGGAATATCCTCCGTGTTGGGGGGTTCCTTGCTTGATGTAGAACTCTATGTCACCCTCTTCCCAGACCATGATGTAGGAGGTGTGCTGGGTGTGTGAGAATCATAGAATATCAGGGTTGGAAGGGACCTCAGGAGGTCATCTAGTCCAACCCCCGCCTCAAAGCAGGACCAATCCCCAACTAAATCATCCCAGCCAGGGCTTTGTCAAGCCTGACCTTAAAAACCTCAAAGGAAGGAGATTCCACCACCTCCCTAGGTAACGCATTCCAGTGTTTCACCACCCTCCTAGTGAAAAAGTTTTTTCTAATATCCAACCTAAACCTCCCCCACTGCAACTTGAGACCATTACTCCTTGTTCTGTCATCAGCTACCACTGAGAACAGACTAGATCCATCCTCTTTGGAACCCCCTTTCAGGTAGTTGAAAGCAGCTATCAAATCCCCCTCATTCTTCTCTTCCGCAGACTAAACAATCCCTGTTCCCTCAGCCTCTCCTCATAACTCATGTGTTCCAGTCCCCTAATCATTTTTGTTGCCCTCCGCTGGACTCTTTCCAATTTTTCCACATCCTTCTTGTAGTGTGGGGCCCAAAACTGGACCCAGTACTCTAGATGAGGCCTCACCAATGTCGAATAGAGGG